CAGAATCACTTAGGAAGCTTAAAATTCCACTACACACAAAGCACCACTCTCAAAGAGTCTGAGCAGAAGATGAAAGAAGAGCTGTTTTTTTCAACTCTTCAAGTGACTCTGATTTAGGGTATACATTGACTTTGTAAAAGTCCTTATTAATAAATCAGCTTCCTTAGGTGATCACTGTTACTCTGACATACTGATAAATATATATCAAAAAAATAAGCTTTTTGCTATCTCACTAGATAATATTTTATGTTACACTTAAGCATTTGTACTCTTTGATCTATTTGTTTAAAGTACTATTTTGAAAATATATATATATATATATTTTTTTTTTGAGTTGGAGTCTCACTCTGTCGCCCGGACTGGAGTGCAGTGGCCGCTCCCGGCCACCGCAGCCTCGACCTGCTAGGCACCGGCGATCCTTCCACCTCAGCCTTCCAAGTAGCCGGAATTACAGGCATGCGCTACCACGTCCGGCTGATTTTTTGATTTATTGTAGAGATGAGGTCTCACTGCCCAGGCGGGTCTCGAACCCGCAGGCTCAGGCAATCCACTCACCTCAGCCTCCCAAAGGCGTGGGATTACAGGCTGAGCCACCAAGCCTGGCTAGCAGTTAATTTTTTTTTTTTGGTGCTGTTCTTGAACCCCTAGGCTTAAGCAGTTCTCCTGCTTCAGCTTCCCAAGTGGCTGGCACTTACCACCATGCCCAGCAGTTTACATATATATATTTAGAGACAAGAACTACAGGTGCATGCTACCACACCCGGCTTATTTTTTGATTTATTATAGAAGCAAGGTCTCACCAAGTTGCCCACGCTGGTCTTGAACCCCTGAGCTCAGGCAGTCCTCTCTTGGACCTCCCAAAGTACTGGTATTACAGGCTTGAGCCATTGCAACCGGCAAGACCTAGCATTTTAGTACTAAAATCATTTGATTACTAACACTGTAATCAGTTTACTAAGAAAATGTTTTATAGATTATTTGAATGTATGTTTAGATTCCTTACTTGAAACATTTTGGTTTTTTCCCCTATAAATGGCATTATAATCTAATCTTTATAATATCCTAGTCTGTTTGCATGAAAACAGTGGTCATGCGATGTGACACTTACTATGTTTTCTTAGATGCTAGCACTGATTTTGTTATATTAGTTTGATTCTTGTTTTTTTCTATTTTGCCCAATGAATCTTGTTAAAAATAGCAGATAAAGGCTTCTATTATAAACTTTATCTAACACAATTTTATAACCACAGTTTTAATTGAGTCTTGACTGGGCGTGGTGGCTAACGCCTATAATCCCAGCTCTTTGGGAGACTGAGGTGAGAGGATTGCCTGAGCGCACAGGTTCGAGGCGAGGCCAGCCCGGGCAACTTGGCGAGACCTCATCTCTACAATAAATCAAAAAATTAGCTGGGTATGGTGGTGCATACCTGTAGTTCCAGCTACTTGGAAGGCTGAGGTAGAAGGATCACCTGAGCCCAGCAGGTCCAGACTGTGATGACTGTGAGCATGCCACTGCACTCTAGCCTGGGCGACAGAATGTGACTCCAACTCAAAAAAAAATTGAGTTTTATGTCTTGCTGTTGTATAAACTAGATTTGAACTAGAAACGTAGTTATCATATATAAATCCCATTTCTGGGGGCAGGGGTAAATGTAATAACACAAAGAGTACCTGATCTATTCCAGGGTGAGTGAGGGCCAGTTGGAGGCCCAGACTTCACCTGCATGTAGCCTACTTGTGTAGTTAATCCTTACTTGTACCCCACATTTCTATAATAAGATAAAATTTAATATTAAAAAATCCAGTTTATTGGCCAGGTGCAGTGACTCACACTTACCATTCCAGCACTCTGGGAGGACAAGGTGGGAGGATTGCTTGAGCCTTGGAGTTTGAGACCTGGCTGGGCAACATAGTGAAACTTCATCTCTACAAAAAATAAAAAAATTTAGCCAGGTGTAGTGGTGCATGCCTGTAGTCCCAGCTACTCGGGAGGATGACTTGAGCCCAGGAGTTGGAGGCTGCAGTGAGCCATGATTGTGCCACTACACTCCAGTCTGGGCGACAGAGTAAGACTCTGACTCAAATATATATATAGGCTTATAATGAAGGAATGTTCTTTGATGGTGATTTGTTCCCCAGGCCCTCAAATTTAATTTACAGACTTAAAACAAGAACACAAAATCCCCAATTTTTTTTTTTAGTCAGTTCCACTCTGTCACCCAGGCTGAAGTGCAGTGGCATACTCATGGCCACCACAGCCTCGACCTGCTGGGCTCACATGATCCTTCCACCTCAGCCTTCCAAGTAGCTGGAACCACAGGTGTGTACCATCACACCTGGCTTTTTAAAAAAAACTTATTGTAGAGACAAGGTCTCACCAATTTGTCCAGGCTGGTCTCAAACCCCTGGGCTCAGGCAATTCTTTTGCCTCCGCCTCCTAAAGTACTGGGATTACAGGTGTGAGCCACCGTGCCCAGCTAATCCTGAGTTCTTAAATGGTAGCTTTAGAAATTTTAATTTATTAAATAAAAGTAGGCCTGGGTTGGTTGAATAGGTACACCTAACCTTAAAGTTAAGTCATATTAGGTGATTTCTCTTTATGACAGCACCATTAAAGTGTTTTTTTGTTTTTGTTTTTGTTTTTTTGAGTTGAAGTCTCACTCTGTCGCCCAGGGTAGAGTGCAGTGGCACGCTCATGGCCACCCCAGCATCTACCTGCTGGGCTCAGGAGATCTTCCACCTCAGCCTTCTAAGTAGCCGAAACTACAGGCACCTGATACCACGCCCAGCTAATTTTTCATTTATTGTAGAGATGAGGTCTCACCAAGCTTCCCGGGCTAGATCATTGAGGTTTTCTTAGTAAATAAAGGAATCAGTTATATTATCATCTTAAGGAATTTTTGTATAGAGCCATTCCTGAACGGTTTAATTTAATTTTTATTTAATTATTGTGTCATTTATTAAAATATCCTCTAAAAATTATACTTTACTAATTTAAAAATGGCTCCAAGACAAACATTTATAAAATATGACTTGAAGTTCTTATTGGTGTTAAGCCTAGAAGTAGATTGTAATTTTCTATGTTTTACCTTAGTTTATACTGATCTGTATTTGCAGATATATGGAGAATTCTTGAGTAAAGTTATTATAACCCACTATCTTATAATCCTTGGTTAAATTTACCTGTTCTAGCCGGGCTCAGTGGCCCAGCCTGTAATCCCATGCCTTTGGGAGGCTGAGGTGAGTGGATTGCCTGAGCCCATGGGTTCGAGACCCGCCTGGGCAGGTGAGACCTCATCTCTACAATAAATCAAAAAATTAGCCGGGCGTGGTAGCGAATGCCTGTAATTCCGGTTACTCGAAAGGCTGAGGCGGAAGGATCGCCGGAGCCCAGCAGGTCAAGGCTGCGGTGGCCAGGAGCGGCCACTGCACTCCAGTCTAGGCAACAGAGTGAGACTCCAATTAAAAAAAAACCAAAAACAAAAATGTATTTCTTCTATGCATAAATATCATTGACTAGTTTATTTTGTTATATGGATTTACATAATGACTTTGACCATTTCCAAAAATGGTAGACTTGACAATTTTCTGGTTGCTGATCAATTATGGTTTTATCTCTTAAGTGAGTTAATCATATTATCTGAAAGGAAACAGTTAGAAAATGAATGTTGTCATTCTCTTCAGACCTGAGTTTACAAATGTTTATTTTCTTCTTTATACTGTTCTGTATTTTATTTTGTTTTTTGGGGTTTTTTTTGAGTTGGAGTTTCACTCTGTCACCCAGCCTGGAGTGCAGTGGCCGCTCCCGGCCATCGCAGCCTCAACCTGCTGGGCTCCGGCGATCCTTCCACCTCAGCCTTCCAAGTAGCTGGAACTACAGGC